CGATATGCTCGCACACCGAGTCTATGCGGCCTCTGGGCTCGGCGTACGCATATTGAATTACGAAGCAACACTGGCACGTTACCAGTATTTTATTATGCAAAAACTGGATAATGTTGCTTCCTCCCTCCCAGACCACCAAGCCGACCTCGCCAGGGTCTTCATCAAAGAAGCGATGCAGGTGGCAGTGCAACAGTTGTCTACTGCATGACACCATGTAGAAACCAATTCGAGGGCTCTCGTTAATGCCATCTCATTGTGCCGACATGCGTGGCTCCACAACTGTAATTTCCCCGATGAGATGAAATGGAGGATCGAGGAAATGCCATTTGATGGCACCGGATTGTTCCACCAAAAGATTGACCGCAAGCTAAAAGCGATACATGAATTGCGTATGATCGTGCGCCGTATGGAGCTTCCTCAATGGAAGCGTAAGTGGCAGTGGCCTCGTTCCTCCTATTGTCAACAATTCCACCCTCGGCAGCACTACCAGCAGTCACAGCAACATCGGAGACAGTAGCTGCAACGTTTTTCCCAGGGCCGTCGGCGTTTTGATGCCGATAAACGCCAACGTTGATGGCCTGGGTGAACCATCCTCTCTCTTCTAACACCACCTTCCCCTCTCCCTTTTGGGGACCGGCTCCAGGGCTGACTCCCCATTTGGGAGTCCATTACATCTGATAGGTGGGTGATGTCTATCATTCAGTTCGGATATAGGATAGAATTCGATGTCGTCCCTCCACCGAGTCCGATTCGATTTACATCTTCATCGGTGCTGTGCAATGAAGTCTCTCAGTTGCTTCGCAAGGGTGCGATTCGACAACTATCCCGCTCGGAGGGGTTGCATGGATTCTACTCCAGATATCTTATGGTTCCGAAAAGAGACGATGGTCTTCGTCCGATTCTGGACTTACAAAATCTTAGTAAGTACATCAAACCAAAAAAGTTTCGGATGACCACTTTACAAAATATCTTTCTGTTACTGAAGAGAGAGGATTGGTTCGCCTCACTGGACTTGAAGGATGCCTATTTTCATATTTCTATCCTTCGCACAGACGCTTCCTGTGTTTTACTGTTGGGCTCGATATGTTCGAGTTCAATGTTCTGCCCTTTGGCCTGGCCACCGCACCTCGAGTTTTTACAAAGTGTATGGCACCAGTATGCGCACACTTATGGACATGAGCAGTGCAAATATATCCATATTTAGATGACTGGCTAATTTTTTCACAAACTAAACAAGGTCTTCTGTCTGCTATACACGTGACCTGCACCCTGCTCGATGATCTTGGGCTATGTATTAACCGCAAGAAATCATCCCTTATTCCCACGCAGGTCATTGACTTTATCGGGGCACGTCTCGACTCCATACGGGAAAGAGCCTTTCTCCCTCCGGAGCATCGAGATACCTTATGTGGCCACATCCGTCGAATCCGAATGCTCAGAACAGTTCCAGCTATATCCATTCAGAGACTATTGGGGCACATGGCTGTTGCAGTTGCCATTGTCCCATATGCCAGGCTATGTATGTGGCCCATACAGCTGTTTTTCAACACTTCATTTCGCCAGCAGCAAGATTCTTCCAACGAACTAATCCAGATTCCGTCTGTGATACTCCGTACTCTAGCTTGGTGGACCATTCCAAACAATCTGTCTATCGGTGTCCCGTTTCATCCACTTCATCCAACTACAACCCTATACACGGACGCATCGCTACTCGGATGGGGTGCAGCATGTTCAGGACTTTGGGCCCAAGGGACTTGGAACCAACGAGAAACAAGGAAGCACATCAACTTCCTCGAACTTCAGCCAATCTTCAACGCCCTCAAGGCTTTCGAGACTGTGCTATGCTGTCAAGTTGTCCAGATTGTGTCAGACAACATACCTGCTGTTTTCTATATCAACAAACAGGGTGGCACAAAATCACCAGCCTTAGCACGTCTATCGATGGCCATTTGGGATTGGTGCATACTGAGGGACATAATGCTCCTAGCAGTTCACCTCTCAGGAATTGACAACACCGAAGCAGATATGTTGAGCAGACATATGTCAATAACGCACGAATGGGAGATGAACAGACAAATATGCCAGAACCTCTTCCGTTTGTGGGGCTATCTGGACATGGACTTCGTTTCTCCCTAAAGTGGCTACACCATTCCACTTGAGTCAAGACATTGTTCTGCTGGCGTTCTATCCAGCGCCGTCGAATCCAATAGAATGGGCTCTACACACTCTTGATGTTCGCCACTGCTTGGCTTTTTATAGATCCCATACAGAATCCTTCCGTCAGACTAATAGACTTTTTGTTAAGTACTCCGAACATGACAAGGGATCACCAGTTACACCTCAAAAACTATCTAATTGGATCATCCAGACTATTGTCTTGGCCTACCAACTATCAAAAATAGACTTGCCTGTTACCCCAAGGGGTCACTCCATGCGAGCAGTAGCGACTTCGTCCGCCTTTGCCACAGGGGTTCCGCTTCAGGATATCTGTAAAGCTGCAATGTGGGCTGAACCATGTACTTTCGCCAAGCACTATCAGCTTGATGTACACGCCAGGCAGGACTGCTTTTTTGGCAGAGCTGTCCTTTCATCTGTTCTTCTCTGACGACACCTCCCTCCTCCAAGTTGGGTAAGCTTGCTAATCACCCATATGTATGATGCACAGAGGTCACGACGAAGAAAAGCAGGTTGCTTACCTGTAACTCATGTTCTTCGAGTGGCCATCTGTGCATTCACACAACCCATCCGCCGGCCCCACTTGGTGTCGGTGAGTGGAAGGTTTTTTCCTCTCGGTATTGTACTCTAATTTACATCGGTACTGTTAGGATATGATGATGGTTTTTTCTCTCGGTACTGTATTTTAATTCTCATCGGTACCATGCTTGTTGAATTATGCTTGTTGAATTTACACTCAACCTCTAGAGGGCGAATGTTTGGTCTTCAAGACTGAGTAAAATGGCGGACACTCTGCTCTATTTATACCACTGGTGGGGAGGGAGTGGAGTTTTTCCCACCAAAAGAAAAAACCGTTAGCTTTCTAATCTTCCGGCCTAGGCACTGCGCAGGCGCAGCACCCATATGTGTGAATGCACAGATGGCCACTCGAAGAACATCAGTTACAGGTAAGCAACCTGCTTTTCTGTTGTGTGTAAATTATCATACATAATTGGGGAAGCAGTACTCTGCTTCCAATTCTTGAAATCCCGTCACCCCCTGAGGCTGCAGTCCTGATGGGGAAAAATACTTTCATTCTCAAACAGGCCTGCTTTTAAGGTTGTTGTATTTACTGTTCTGTTGTTTTAAAGTCTGGAGATCTGGTCACACATCTTCCAAGTCTTATCTATTTGAGTCCTAAGAAACTCTTTATATAATCATCAAGCGTCATGAAGAGTCCCTGAGCATGAATCAAAGTACTGTCGGGGAAGCTCCTATATTCCTCCTAGAGTTCTGGGAAGGAAGAAAGGTGGGATAGAAATATATTAAAAATTTACAGTCAATCAGTAAATATGAGATGGTTTTTTATTGCCATAACAACATGCTTGGGCCAGCTTTTGGAGTTACATGTAGGGAACCATTTTCTCTGTGGAGCGGTCATCAGCAGGTTCCATGTTACTTGGTGTTTTGTGCGGGGTGGACCAGAGCCTGAATACTCAGCGGGATCCTTTAGATTGGGACTTCACAAATACCATTATTTGAGTTTTCAATTTGAAGCAAGAACTACTAACATCTCAAATTTAAACCTCACTTGAGCAATGACAGTGATAGCATCTAAAATATGATCACAATGAAGGAGAACAAACCACTAATGTAATTCTTATCTATACCCCATAAGAAATGTTATGTCCTTAATTGTGATATAAATGGCCTCTTCCTTACCAGAGGCATTTTCAATATTAGGAAATATGGGTTTCTTTCATATTTTGCTACCTAGCTGGTAAATGAAGAAGCTGTGTGGTTAGCTTGAAAGCAGAAGTGAGATGACAGGTGGCATACTTGCAAATAAACCAGCTTAGGTCTATTTTGATTTATACAAAGCTTGAAAGTCTCTTAGTATGAAAATTACTTAAGAAGCACAGAATCCTGAAAATGCTCATGAACTCTTAAGTGCTCAAAAGCAGTTTCAAATTGGTAGAATGTATCCAGGGAACTTAGGATAATAGCTTAGGAAATTGTGTTTGCTTGGTTAATTGCAGAAGAATGTGTGCTATCCTGGATAGTTTTATAAGAAAAAAAAACATAAGCACGAGGTCAACTTATTTAGTATAAATACCAAATCTTGCCAGTTTCAGTGTAGCTATCCAAAGAATTCAAACCATTCTCTCCAGGATGAACTACGCAGTAATGGAGGCTGTTTTAATATGCAAGTAACATCCCACTCTGCCACTTGATGAGAATTAGCTGTTAGCTCCATTTTTGCTTCTAGCCTGTTAGTTTGCTTACCCTTCTGAGCTACCCTGAAAAGAAAGAAGGGTTAGTTCCTAATGGAAACATATTGATTGCATTAAGCAGCTGTATATAACCTGCTCTGGTCTTTTTGTGGTGATGTGTAGTATTTAACAAACTGGAAAAGATAATGTCTGCTGATTGACAGGAGTCAGATAAAGGAAGGACAGACTTTCACTGTGGCTAAGATATGCTCACAACCTGACCATGAATGTTCATTTCATTAATAAACTGTAGTGTTTTAGTCTCTTACTTTGCATGATGAAGACAGATAAATATTTACTACTGAGCCAGGGACCTGACTTTTGAGTTGGAATCAGTTAATATTGGTAAAGTGCTAAATTTTAATGAGCCTGATATAGGAACATATTGTACATTCATAGAAATGTACACTTTGAAATTGGTTTCTTATAGTTCTTCATCATTCTTCATCATCAAACTATACACTTCTCATGATTTTTATTTAGATCAATTTAGTAGCCAGTGTTATTCAATGTATACCTACCTGGAGGTGAATATATGCAACTAAACATAAACCCTTTTTATCTTGCTTTAAGGGGTGAAGTCAAGTGGCCAACCATGACCGGCAAAACACAGACCAGTAATGTCACCAATAAGAATGACCCCAAATCCATCAACTCCAGAGTCTTCATTGGCAATCTCAATACAGCCATTGTCAAAAAGGGTGACATAGAGGCGATCTTTGCCAAGTACGGAAAAATAGTCGGCTGCTCTGTGCACAAGGGTTATGCATTTGTACAGTACATGAGTGAGAGGCATGCAAGGGCTGCTGTGGCAGGAGAGAATGCCAGGATCATTGCAGGACAACCACTTGGTGAGTATCTTCCCTATGTTAAGCAGTCATTTATTGCCAGTTCCTTCTAACCATCTTTGAGTGGGGTTGCAACCATTTTAGTAAAAGCAACTTACACAGTTACTGCCAGGCTTTATTTAGGTTTCTACTGTATTCTAATAGTGATCAGAAATTAGGAAGAACTTAGCATCTGTGAATGAGCAAAGAAATATATGGTTATATTTATTTTTGACTTTACTTTGGCTGTTCATGGGTGTTTAGTTTCGCTCCTTGGGTCCCGACACGTTAAATACACCTCTGATACACATGGGTTATGAAGCATGCTTATTGAACAAACTATGGTTAACATTAATGACTGTTAATGGTTTGGATGGTGGGGTTAGTGGAAACTGGAAGCAAAAATGTGCAAATTCTTCACAGCTGCATCAAAGAAGAGCAGGTAGGGAAAATCCGGAGTCCAGTGCTCACTGGTGTCTTGCAAGGAATATTTTCAGTTCATGAAGATGGCAGTCCAGTGCTTCTCTGAGTGTTCATTGCATGCTCCATATTCTCACCAGAGAGACAGAATTAGGCATTGAACAAACCCAATGATTGTCTTCTAGTTTTTATGAAATCTGTGTTGTGTCTTTTCTAATTTGTGCACATTGTGCACTCTTCTATATTGCTGGCACAACATACTCATTTTAGCACTTTGAGGTGGGAGGATCAAGCAGCCTGCAAATAATAAGATGCAAAGTATCATGCGATGATGTAAAATGAAATATACCCATCAAGGACTTGATTCAAAGAGCTTTAGCCAGTCTGCTGCCCTGTAAAATTCATCTTGGAATCATTAAGTGGTGCCGGCATTAGTATGCTGGTTTGCTGCCCAAAAAGCATAAATTTATCTGAATGTCCCTTATAGCAGTTGTGTGGAAACCAGGCACATTTATTTTATTACTTGTCTATCAGTGTGCATGAGTACTAAATATTAAGAATTAAATTCTTGATTAATTAAGGGTGAATACTTGATCATTTCCAAGGTTACATTATCATGGAAGGACTCATAATGCTGTCTGTGCGTGTGGTGAAGCTAAATTTACAATGTATCTGATTCTGACTGGAATTTGGGGAAGTTGAGACATGCCATGGGTAGAATTACAGGCATGAAGGAAAACAGATTTTTCATACAGTTTTGTGCCTAATATATTTAGGGTATTACTTGGCAAATGCATGCCCATGCTCACTCTATCTATAAAATTGCATTGACTGTGATGTTTGTTATTGGAATACTATAAAATTGTGCTGGATACTGGATCTCGTAGCTTTCTCTGGTAATAATAATAATAATAATAATAATAATAATAATAATAATAATAATAATAATCAGATTCATTTACAATTGAGGTTAGTAGTTTTTCCTGTCAGGTTTTCTCAGTTTTATGAAAAATGAACTATCCTATTCTGTTTTAAGACTCTGCTCCTTCCCTGCCCCAACTGAACTCTTGACATGCACCATTTTTATAGTCTTGTAAACCAACTGATAGCTTGTTACACCAGTGCAATATCCCCATGGCCCACTGACTTCCTAAGCAAACAGTGTAGGATGTAACTTTTGTGAGAGCTCTTTTAAAGCTACTACATATATTCACCACTTTTTAAAATAAATGTAATCTAACATCAAAAATATTCCAGTACTTTCTAGGAGCACTACGGGACAGTTTGCAGCTCCTTTGGCTGATGTCCTTTAAAACCAATACATTAATTCCATTGTAGATTCCATCCTGTTTGTCTCTTGAAGAATTATTCACATACAACTGCCTTCAGGTCAAAATTAGGCACAGTCACAACGTACCTAGTGAGCACAGACTGACATGTAGCCACAAGTGAAACAGTAGCCACAGATAATTATTTTGGACAGTGTACTCTATTGCACAACCTTAAGGGAACTGCTTGAGCCCTGCGGGAGCTTTCTAAATCATGGCAGCCCTAGAAAATATACGATGTGTGGGGCAGGTAATAAATACCTTAGCAAGATTTCAACATATACTCCTGTTGTAAACTGAATTGATGTGGCAGTAGAGCCATTTTCTCTTTTCTCACATCTGTGCCCCTACCCCAAACATTTGTTTTTAGGGTCTGAAGCTTGCAGTAGTTCATGGAAGTAAAGCATTCCAAATGTGTTTGCACAGCCTGTAATCTCCAGGGTGAACCAATTCATCAGTACAGTCTTAGACTCCAAAACAGCATTAGTAATGTCACATGTTCAGAATGGTTGTTTTCTTATTTCTGAAAGAAGACAATGAGCCCTCTGTGCAAAATTGTTCCCATACTATAAAGGAAGCCAAATATGCACAACTTTTATTTTTACCATAATCTGAAATAGCCTATTTACAAACTTTAAAAAAAAAAAAACAGTCTTAAACTCTTACTAGTTGCTATGGGTCCATTTAATGCACTGGTTGATGATATAGTTAATAAAGGAATCAATTCCATAACTAAGTTTATTCAGAAGCACTCAGCTTACATAACAGCAATACATGAGAGGATATTATGCATTAAAATGTAGTGTGCAGAGCATTAAGAAAATGCATCAAAGTGCAGTGGCCAGTTTATACTGCAAAGCCCTCCACATACCCCCCAGGACTATGAGTCTGACAATACCCCCATGGTGGCCCACAGGTGATCCTGTGGCACCCACTAAGTGTCTGAATGAAGCTTAATAAATCAGGGTGAGATTGCAGTAAGCAGATTTATATATACATCTACAAAGAATAGTTACGTTTTAATAAGCAGGTTTATTAAATTGGGCAGATATTGTTACAGTCAGGCACCATGGCTGTCAAAAGCTGGGATAAAATCATTCACAGCCAGCATGATTTATTTGTTTGTTTATCGCACTGGCACCTTTCTTCCATCTCTTTATATCTCACCACCACCTATGCCAACATGTGGAGCAATCCATCATAAGTTAGGCATGCCTACATATCACTTAAATCATTACAACTAGGATATTTAACTCTATGTGTAAGCAAGAACAGCTGTATTCGTTCACAGGCCCTTGAGTAACAGAGTATCAGCATCATACTTTGGCATTATCCATCCTTCTCACTCTCTCATTCACTCTTTTGCCACTCCCACTTCAAAACTAAAATAGGTCTTGTCCAACATGAGAGCTTCTCCACCTATTGTCAAAGGAAAACAATGCAAAGTTGTCTTTTAGAATGTACTGCTGTGTCAAAGCAGCAAAGTGACTTGCAACACTTTAAAGGCTAATGCAAAACAATGCACCATTCCCATGCCCCTCACTGAATTAACATTACTGGAAAATGTACCTTTCTAGTTGTATCAGCTAAGGTTGTAATCCAGGATGGGACAACATTTCAGTGGGTCATGGGTGGGAGCTACTCTACTGGATAGTAAAGGTGATGGACTGACCATCAGTGGACAGTGACAGAACACACCTATTCACGCTCTTTCTCTCAACCCCTTCTCCTCCAGCCCCTGTGATCCTGCACAAAATCATTGTTGCTACTAGGTTCCTTGAGTGAAATTGCTTGGGGTTACCACAGGTTGCTTTAATCTCATGCCCCCAGGAATCTTGACAAAGATTATTGTTTCCCAGTACTCAGTTCATGGTAGGAAAAGTGGGTAGAAGGATAAAACTGAATAAAGGTAGATTCACTTTATCTCTTTCACTATAGCTTGCTTTTTCTCCAGCCTTTTTTTTACTTTGTTCAGAGATGTGCTAGTATTGGGGTCTGCTTTGAAGTCTGCCATCTCTCCTGGAAGCTCCGTTCCACTCTGCATAGGCTGTGGACTTTTCACTGAGATATACATGTTTAGGAATTCAGAATCTTTATTTGGTTGGCTTTGGTCAGATCACTATAAGAGACTCTCCTGACCTAGCTGCCTCATGGTAATGTTTAAAAAATGTCTTACAAATTACATCTTTGCAGTAAAAAATTGCATGCCATTTGCAGGGTACATCCAATATAACATGAAAGACCTAGCATTTAATGGTAAAGTTTGGGAGTGCAAATATAAACAATGAAAACTCCCACCTCATCAAACCTTGTGAAAGCTGCCTTGCTGTGGAAAATTGGGTATGATTAAAAAACAGTGGGGTAGGATTGTCCATTATAATTTGTGTTCTTACAACTTATGAATTAGGTTGGTCACATTTAGTGCTATATTATAGTCAGAGAACTAAGGCTAAATCATAGTAACATGTCCAAGACATAACCATGATTGCAAAGTAGAGACTGATACTGAATTAATCCAAGTAAAAGTGAACATTGGACTATTTAATACTTTGCTTCCAAGGAAGTTGGCTAACCCATGTTCTGGTTAAAGCACCCAGGTGTTTCATCTAGCTTTGCTGTCTGAGCAGCTACTCTTCAAAGAGTTAAGTTCAAGAATTGAAGAAAAGCAAATTTGTACCTGAACTTTGCTCCACAATGGTGGTGTTTTAGTGTTCAGTCTCAAACTTTTTATAGAACAGATCAATACAAAACTTGTTTGCAATCTCTCTTTAGGTGCCTGGCATCATACAGAGGTCAGTTCCATGGGAAATGTTTGAACTGAAGCTAAAGCTGAATTCCAATACACAGTTAATTGGATCTATTCCCCACTAAATAGAATCAGAATTCCTTATGAGTAAACAGTCACTGTAAATGGATTGTATATTTACATTTTTTACATTCTATATATTGATTCAAAACGTTTTACATACTTAAAATAACAAATTATATGAAATATTGAAATGAAACAACATAAAACCTATAAAAATGTGAAAGAAGATGAATAAAAGAAGAAATAATGCTGCAGTTCTGTTGTGACTTACCTATGAGTAAACCTCATGGAACACAGTGCAACTTAATTCACATGCATAGGATTATACTACACAGGTAGTCGGCACATAAAAACAGTATACCCAAATTAATGGACTTGGGCAAATAAAACCATTTTTACTAAGCATTTGAACCTATGCAGAGTAGGCTTCAGGTATATTACCCTGGAGAATGTATGTCAGAGTTGCA